GGGGGGGGGAGGAAGTAACGATGCCTATCCCTTTTTCTTTCTATTCTGAGAAGACACCAAGATCGTTTGCGCTAGAAAAAAAAAAGCAAAAAACATTGTCAAACGATGTCAAAACAGTCAGAAAAATCTAGGCGAAGAAGATGGAAGTGGTTCAGCCAGAAGTAAAAAGTGATGCTAAATTTTATCAAAATGAGATAAATCTAAGCTAAAGCAGTGCAAAGTTTAGTTTTTGAAAGCAAACACAAAATTGGTCTGATGGATGCATGATTTTTACAGAACGGATGCAAAATTCAACCGAACTGGACTTTAAAACAATTGAAATGCTGGACGGGCTAAAAAAAGCAAAAACGGCTCACTAACAAGAAAACAATTTCAAAACGCTTGGGAAAAACATCTTGGATAAATCGAGACAAAAACTGAAAGTGAGCTATTTTGGTTGAAATGCGTCGCTTCAGAAGGACCTGAATCAGGTGCGTCCTTTTTGTTGGAAGTCGGCTATGTCGCTGGTACTCAAAATCGCATTAATATCGCTGTTCTAAAACACGCAAAGTGAAGATTCCGTAGACAGGCTTGTGATCCGATGACTTCTCCTCCCACAAGCAATCGTATTTCACAGGTCGTACCCGACTTTCGTCTTTTGCGTAGAACAAAATCCGATCCTGGAACAAATTAAAAATTATTAAAGCAACTCTGAGACAATTGGAAAACTGAGTAAAGCAGTTCTACAGTTGAGCAGAATTTCAGCCGCCATTATATTGTCTGAATTACCAAAATGATGGAAATTTTCAAACCGTATAAGAAGGAATCCGGTCGTTGACGTAGTCGTTTGTGCCAAGTATGAATTTATGAGTGGGTGGAAAGTTAATATATGGCTCGCTGAAGCCTTCGAAAACACGCCCTGGAATTTCACTTGTATCGAAAGTGCTAATCTTCAGCAGAGCGCAATATCACTTACCCTACAGGTAGTTCACAGTAAGGAAAAACGTTATTTCAGCATACTGAGCTTCTAACAAAAATTGATATACTGAATTGTCACACTTTTAGTATATGTGTCCCTGAAGCGCATGAGGTCAGAAGCTTGCAATTAAAATACACGTCTTTATGTATCCTGATTACAGCATGGATGTTTTGCTCCCATTCCTTTTAAATACGCCTTAATCCTGAAATGCTGTTACATCCCCAAGACTTTTTCCTGCAAGTGCGAGGAACGGATTACTGCTTTTAATTCCAAAAATCGGCTTCCTAACATCTAATCTGTGAGAATACACTTTGTACGGCTGGAATAGCGACGTTTTATTAATTTAGCAATTACTATTGCTTTGCGCGTTCTAGGGTTTTCTGAGGAAATCAAAGGACGGAAAAACTAATGCAAGTTCGTCTTTATGATACCGGCTGAGTTGAAAAACCGCTGCTACCAAACTACTTTGAAGACTTCATTCACAAACAAACGCCTAAAATGAAGCTCATCATGAATATGACATTCAGACCCTCTCAGTATAATGAATAGGCCAGAGTTATAACCACTGACAAATCTCGCAGGTTTTGCCCTATTTAAGCATTATAAGTCGTAAGAACTAATCGAAGAAACGCATAACTGCACCAGCATCCTGGTACACGGAGCTATCTATTTTTTGAAGAAATCTGAGGAACAGCAAAATGAAATGTAAGATCAAAGTTCAGCCCACCTTCTCGCATAAGCACATCATGGCTTCAAAAAGCTGCCTGTGCGCAGGGGCCAGTACATTACCCTTGACGAAAGATAGAACTAGCTTTCATGGATGGAGCGTGAAAGTTTATTAAAATATTGCTCTAGCGCGTTGTCTACACTGTCTAAGCTCCAGTGAATTGTAATTGTGTACAACCATCAGAATCCTTAAAAAAAGTAACCCCCCAATACAGCCTGCAAACAGGTAGAACAATTTAACAGTGCGAAAAAATATACCTTTACATCGCTCTAATGTAAGCTCATCGTCAATAAGCAACTGAGTAAAATACGAATCTAACAAAGACTGTTCATTATCCTGTAAGCTCAAAGCATCAACTCGTGCTCTGCTGCGAAGTCGAAAATTCAAATCTCCGAGCCAAAAAACCTGTAAGACCAAATATTTTTAAGCTCTGTTTATTGGCTCAAAAAAGTTGATCTGACCTAACCTAACTCGGCCTGACCCAACCTGACTCGGCGCGTCTGAACCCGACCCGACCCGACCTGACCCAACCCGGCCTAACTCGACCCGACCTGACCCGTCCTGATAGGTCAGTTCAGCCTGGTTTAGTCGGCCCAATTCAGCCTGATCTAACCGACTTTTCCTCGCTGGCAAGCTCACGCACAATGAACTTGGTGGAGTAAACTGAACACAAGTCAGAATCAAATTAAATTTAACCCAGGTAACGACGCATCAGACTTGTCGGTGCGAATACGCATTTTTGCATATTTCTATTCTGTAGAGAAGCTTTGGTGACTTACACAGTCGGCATGCTTTGTAACCGATGATGACGATGTGCGGAACCCCTTAAGAGCAGGAAATTTCAGTGAATCACAAATTTTCGAATAATCATAAATGCGATTTACCACTGATCCATCTAAATAAAATTTTATAGCTTACAGTTCGTAAAATTTTTAAAAGTGATCTGATGCGCATTGCAAGCTTAACAGGAATAGTGCTTACCGCTGCTTTTTTGAAGTTCCATTTTATTTTTCACGGAACGTGTGGAGTGCCAAAATGCACTGTTAGAGAAAATGTCTAGCGGTTGGTTTTCACAGAATGTCTCGATATTAATGATCAGTCAGTTTTTTGTCAAATTTTGTAAATAGCCTAAAAAATAAACGACTATTAAAACTCAATTCAACGTGCAGTGTGCACTCGTTTATGTGTTTGAATACGATCTTCGAGACTCGCAGTCGTGCGCTAGTACCAGGTTTCTGTCTGGGTAAGATCTGGATGTCGCGCGTAAGCTTAGTAATTTAGCTCACGTGAAGTTTCTTGCTGAGCATCATAAAGCACATAATTCCTTCCCGCCATAATCCTCGCTTTCTATGCGTTTTTGCATAATATGCAAATGCAAAAACGCGTACTGTGACGACCCCAGTGTGTGTGTGTGTGTGTGTGTGTGTACGTGTGTGTGTGCGTGTGTGTGTGTGTGTGTGTGTGTGTGCGTCTGTCCGGATATTTCAACTCGGTACCCAGGCAAGCTCCGGCGCCAAAATTTTGCCAGTGGATTCCCCACCCAAGTGCCACCCCAGGACCGCGGTA